CTCTTTGGATGCTTGACTGTTTAATATGTAACGTGATACCTTGTCTCGCAGTGACAGGGTGACAGACGGGCATTGGCTCTATAATACAGAATTACCTTTTGTGCATCTCTTCTACAACAAAGCGAAATACACTGACTCTCCCTAATATGCTAATACGTTTGGTGTGCTCCAGATGTTTTGGAAGCTCGGGAACAGCTTCAAAGGTCCCCTTGTTTTCCTTTCTCTTTAACCCTTCTTTTGTGAAATAAGGGCATTAGATTTTCCTTCAGTTTTGTATGCCATCACGTACGTGTAGCTGATGGGAGGACTGGCGAAACTTCTTTGTGTCTAAAACAGAAAATTGTAAGCACAGCCCATTCTCGTCCCCCTTTTCAGATGTTAGGAAAGAATTTCCTTCTCTGTGCACATTTCTGTTCTGAAATCTGTAGCTCTCATCATCACTTAGCTGAAGGAATCTTTGGCCTCATTTGTGTTTTAAATTTCCCAGCCCCCGTTACGTTAAGGCCAGGGGGAGATGTTCATGCACATCTCCAGCCCCCCCCCCCAGAACAGGACTGCTCCTTCCTCTTTGCTGCTGCCGCTCCAGGCTTAGGAAGAACCAGTTTGGGTATGTTGCCTTGAAAGCCTTTTAGTTGCTTGCTCATTTGGGAGATGAGGGTCCAGAGCTCCTGAATTTTGTTTCCTTGGGGTTCTCAGCTCGTGAGCATGGGCACTGCCCTTGTGGTGGCCTGTGGCACGCCGCCCCGTCAGCTGACGGTGACTCGCCGAGGGCTGCCTTTACCGCAGTGATTTGGAATTTCCAGCTCATATTTATTGCTCTTGTGGAAGACAATGGATGTGGTTTAATTTAAGTTCAACCTACTGAATATTAATAGAGGAGAACGAATGCTCGTGTGGGGAGGCGGTCTTTGGGCCATCGCGTCTCCTCTGTTTAACCTCCTCCCCCCCCGACAAAGGTTTGTGTTGATGGTGGGCTTGGGCGAGGGTGGGAAGATAAAGCCAGTTGGTGTGTTTGGAGGAGAGGATGCAGTTTGATTATTTCTCATTGACTAAAAATAATGTAAAAGATCGGTGGCAGGGCTTTGTTCCATAGGGGAAAGGAAAGGGAGTACTCATTGGCTTGTCTGATGGTCTGATAACGGCTCTTCTGCCCCGTGGTGTCGTGTTCCATCTTGCTGACCTGGCTTTTCTGGACTGGGCAGGTGGTACGAGTTGTATGAAAACGTTCAAAATGAAATAGGGTAGCCAGTCCACTGGAGATGTGAATAAGGGGGTGGGCGGTGTGCAGAAAAGAAAAAAGCCCAGGTTTATCCAACCATGGAGACTGTCTAACTAAAAATAAATGTACATTTTCTCTGTGCTGATGTCAGGAGGGGGGTACTCAAATTGAAACAGTCAGTTATACGCAGAACAAGTCGCTCCCCCCCCCCACGCCCCCCCGCCCCTCCCCGTAAAGGCTGGAAACAACTGAGGTCTTCTAGTTCACAGAACAGGCAAGCAGTCCCTTTGTGTGGGCCCCTTTTTCCTGATCTGGAAAGTGAATGACAGCCCATCTGTCTCGTAGTTCAGGTAACAGACATTGTTAATCCTTGGAATGGAGGCATCTTTGGTGTTCTTTGAAGATATTAGTCTGATGAGGGCTTGGGACTGTGGACTCAGCACTTTGGTTCCTTTCAATGGAGCTCAGTCATGCCTTAGTGTTTCAGAGGATTCTCATCCTTGTGCCTGACATTGAGCTCACATACAGTCAATTAAAATTCCCCCTTTTCATGTAAAACTTGATAATCCAGTTTCCCTGAATTTGTGCTTGGGCAGTTGATTTTTTTTTTTTTTGGAGAAAAGAAACATTATATCCTTGTTCTAGACTGATGCCTCTTAGATATGAACACTTTTTTCCCATCATGCGTTACTTTTTAACTGTATTTGTCGTTAGCAGGGTCTGATAGCTTTGTGATAAGTTTTAAGCAGCCTTATTTCCTTTCACAAAATTAATGATCCAAGGTGGAAGAATGCCCCAGCAGAACTTTGGTTTTGGGCGCCTTACTGTGAGTGAACTTTGGATTTGGGTGCCTTAACGTGAGTTGTATTATGATAGATTGTACAAACATAATTGGTTTCCTGAGATCTAGTGCACACTTGCCCAGAGCTTTATAGTGTCTTAGGGCAATTAAATCTCTTACTGGCTTGAATCTTGCTTCCCCCTGCAATAGTGGATCTCAAGGTGTGGCCCCTAGACCAGCCAAAGCAGAACCAGCATCATCTGGAAATTTGTTAGAAGAGGACACACTGGGGTTATGCCCAGGGTGTAAGTTTGAGGGTCACTACTCTTTACAGTCTACAGAGGTTCTTTTTGTCAGAAGGACCAGGGTATAGCTGTCATTGAATAGCTGAACTTTTCTCTGCTAACTCATTCCTTCACTTACTTACTCATTCACTCATGAGCTGCTTGCTCCCTCAGGAGATGCTTGAGATCTTGTTATGTGCGTACCAGAGGGGACAGCAAGTGCTTCTTCCTCAGGTTCACTGAGCAGTGCCTGCTGGCACTTCTGTTTCCTCCTTGTTCCAAACACAGCTTCAGACAACCACCTCTTCTTCCTCCTTCACTGTCACCAGCACCACCACTGTTTTGGTTTTTGTTTTTTAGGTGTATTGCACATACCAGCTTTGCTCTCTCGTTTTGCTGTTGCAGGTTTGCTTGCTGGCTCCAGTGATTCATATTCACTGCCCTCCCCTATTGCTTGCCCTGCAAGTGCAAGGTTTCTTCTTTGTACATACTGCTAACTGATACATACAGGAGTATCTCCTCTCACTACTAAAATTTAGGCTTTGTTGGATTTTGCCTGTATCCCCAGTGCCCTGGCATATGGTGGGTGTTAAAAAATGAAGTTATATTTCCTTCCTCCTTTCTTGCTTTATTCTCCTTTAAGTCCTTACATACAATTGAAAAATTTGAATTCAACCAAGAGTACACTTTTATTTTAGAGATAATCCCCCTTAAAAATTAATTTTATATATGGTTCCATAACCAGAATTTTTATTTTGAATTTACCATCCTTTTCAAGTGTGGTAATTCATCCGTTAGCGCCTCTTTTTTACACGTGACTTATATTATGTCCCTGGGCTAGTTTCCTAATCTGCGTTTATAAGTATGGTCTGTATCTTCCTACTATTTGGTGGGCTGCTGCGTGGTCATCTCCCCCCGCTCCCCACCGCCCATGACATTGCTACAGTGCTCTAATTTAGTGCTGGTCAATAGAGATGTTATTTCAACCACATATGTAGTGTTAGTTTTCTAGAGCTGCATTAAAAAATTTTAAAGAAGCAGGTAAGACTAATTTAAATGTATTTGACATAACCTAATAATACATCTGGAATATTTCAAGAATTAATATCAAATTATTAAAGAAGTGTTAGTTATAGTCAGTTTTAAATAAGGTTAAATAAAAATAATAGTTCATCTTCTTACTCACATAGCCATATTTCAAGTGCTCAGTAGCTCCCTGTGACTAGCGGTTACCGTAATGGATAGCACTGCTATCATCTTTGAAACGCTGGCCACACTTCAACCCTTAGACTCATAGATTTCCCTGCAATTATGTCTCCTGTTTGCCTCACGGTGCAAACTCCCCACATTTTCTGTTTCTCTGGGAAGTTGCCTAGTGTTTTCACTTCCATATTGTAGTCATGACTCCCAAAGCCACAAGTCTGAGTGACAGCCATGGGATTTTATTTACTGCATTGTATTAGATTTCCAGCGTTGTTATTACTCATACCCCGAAATGATGTAAAAATAGATAACTGGGGAAATGCATGCGTAAACAGGCTAAGTCTGGGGAAATGCATGCGTAAACAGGCTAAGTCCCAGGGTTTTGTTGCAGTATACTGTGTTCTTCCAGAAAATCTTACCCAATATGTAGAATATTGTGTTCTATATAGTGTTTACTGCAACTAATAGGAACCGCTCTTTAAGTGCTTCAACCAAAAAGGGATTTAATACAGGGACGTAAGTGCTTACAAACTTGCTGGAAGGGTTGGGAGAACAAAAATCAAGGGGCCACCCTGCCCTTTTGGCTTCACTTAAAAGCCAAACACCGTGGCTGTGAAAATGCAGACACTTGCTAGCATTTCTGCTGATGCCTGGAGGCTGGTGACTAGACAGTGGAACTGGGGGCCGGTGGCTGTGGACACTTGTGTGGGTACAGGCCCCCCGTTGGTAGAACCTAAATTGTATCCAGAACCCTAGATGCAAGGACATCTGAATGCTAGAAGACCAGGCTTTTATTCAGCTGTGACCCGTTGGCTGGTGGCTCAGCAGCTTCCATGTCACTTGGCATAGCCCTTTTCCCAGTCTGGGTTACTAGTGGCTCATCCTGGGGCCACCAGACTCCCTCTTCTGCATGGTACCATGTATGGAGTCGTGGAGAATCCTTATCCTCTGAGACAATCAGATTCCAATACAGTGACTCTGATACAGTGGTTTGCTATGAAGAGCAAGTTGTACAGTCAGACCTCTAGTTAAGGACTGATATATGGCCACAAGGTAATGATTGATGCTTTTTCTTGGGTGGCAGGTACTGGCTCCTGAAGGCAATTCCAAAAAGGATTTCAGTGTTTCTAGAGTAAATATTTAGCCCTGGAAGGGTAACTAGTTTGAATCGGCAATACGTGAAGTTTGTTTCTTCCTTTCCACTCCCTAGCCCTGAAAGATGTTGATGCACTTCAGAAAGAACGCTATAGTGCATTATTGCAATTACACATTTCTGCTTGACTTTCTTACTGTTGGAGTTATTTCTTTGGTAGGCATTTCACTCTCGTGTAAGGTCTAAAGTAGGTTGAGGTGGGACTTTTTCCCCTCCATTCACAAGGGATATGTACCTTCTAATTCTCTTCTATCCAGATTCTTGTCTGCCCTCATCAGCCACTGTGTAGGGTTAACTGTGGTAAAGTGCTGCTTCCTGATGTCATGTATTGAAGTGTTTGTCCCCTTTTTTCACCTGTAGGGCTCCTTGGTAATGGCCAGTCTAAGGGATTAGGACCAGCATCAGAACAGTCAGAGAATGAGAAGGACGATGCATCCCAAGTGTCCTCAACTAGCAACGATGTTAGTTCTTCAGATTTTGAAGAAGGGCCGTCGAGGAAAAGGTTAGTACCCAAGGCTGAAAATATTGGTGCCTTAAACCAGGGACTTCACACTAGGTTCCAGTTTTGTCCGTGTGGGAACAAACTTGGGCCCACTCACCCAATCTCCTGATTTTTTCATAGAGGAGCCAGAATTCTGGATTTTTGTATCAGATATCCTGGTTTCTAAATATTGTCCACTAATTATTATTAGAGATGAATAAAGCAAAAAAATGCTGTGGACCAGAAGAAAACACTTTCCTGCCATAAAAATTGGCCAAAGAGTTGCCAACTTGTAATTCCTGTCTTTGCTGTTCATTTTAATTGATTTTCATCAGTTGTATTCTTGAGTATATTAGATGGTGTTTCGCCATTTCTAAAGAGATGTTTCTAAAAATTTGAAGAATTAAATGTGGTGTTTCTGAAAAAGTTTTCCCCTTGTCAGGAAAGCAAAATCCACTTGGTGTTAACCAAGTTAGTAGGTGTGAAATCGGTTCTTAAAATTAATTTACCAGCAGGTTTTTAATTTTTTTAAATGACTTTCCTAAATAAGCTTCAGATAGCTTGATCAGGAAGTTGGCTATGGTAGTTTGATAAGAGTTGTGGCTTCATGGTCAGACAGTGACATTATATAATAATGCTTTTAACTGGGTGTTTTAAAAACCCGTTGTTAGTTATCAGCCTTATTTCACGCCTTGTGTTGTCTGCGCGGACCGCCACCCCCCTTAGAGTTTATATTTCATTTCATTCCTTTTCTGCTCTCATGCTCAGTGTTTTCCTGGATGACAAGATTAATTACTTTTTCTTAGAATCTGTTTTTTGGAGAGGTTTGGGAAAGGGGGAAAAAAATAACTCCTGGTCTGGACTTCGTTGTTTGCCCTTTCTATATACAGAATTACAGTTACTTTTCAGAAACCATCTAGTTGTGTATATCTAATGAAGAACTGAATATGGTGGCAAATTAAGAGGAAGGGAGAAGGGTGGCCATGTGTGGATACTTAAAATCCTTAACAGAACTGTACTTTAGATCTGAAATTTGAGATGCATAGCTCCAAGCCTTTATTTTCCTCTGTCACGCAGTGTCTTCAGTTAGAATACCCGTGGTATAGAGTCTGTATTAACTTCCATCCTCTTTTTCCCTTAATGCTCGGCACTGTGTCTTAGAAGGTGTCATTGGATTTGTTAGTACAATTAGCACGCGTACGTAAGAAGTATCTCTGCCAGTGTACTGGACTTTGTATGTTACTCTATTTAAAAACATTTGGCTGAGTGTCTCAGTGTAAGCCTTTAATGTTTCAGATGCTCTGTGACAAACATTCACTCTGCCCCAGTTTGAAAAGTGCACCGTCACAAGAGGGAGAGTTAAAGGGTGTGTAAGAAAAACCACATTAGTAAACATACTGGAATGTGTAATAATACTCTCCATGTTTCCAAACATGGGTGGGGGGTCATGCATCATCTTTCATCTGTTTTTGAGGAACAAAAGTCTGTGATTGTGGTTGGAAATGACAGTACCCATCATTCAGCTACATGGCCGTCCATCACCCTCACCTCTGGTGAGGTAGGTCAGCATGGGGGTATGATGACAAAGGCCATTAGGCTTCATTCTCTTGGGGTGGGTGTGGGGAGCCCTTTGTCCCTGGCTCCTAGCGCCTTTCTCAGATGGCAGTGCTGCCGGCTTCCTCTTTGCACGGGACTGTGGTCCTGTGTGGCAGCTGTGTGCAAATCAGTCAATTAACTTTAATTCTCCAGGGCAGTGAAAAAGAGAAACTTTGTTTAGGGGAACTTAGGGAAAACTTAATGCATTGCTAATCTGCTTTAATTATTAGTGTGCCAAGTACCTTGTTTTACTGAATTATGGATTCATGACAGCATTCTGGGGAGTTACGATCACAGGGACATATAGTGTAGATTAAGGTTTTGACAGGTTAGGCTAGCTTTAGGGCTGCTCTGGGGTGGCCTGCGTTGCAGAAAGGGGCTGCACTACCCATCCGTAGTTTACGGATGGGTAGTGTAGTTAGGGCATAAATGTCTTGAAGTGTTGCAGGGTACATAGCAAATAGAAAATAATAACTTTTAATAATTTTTGGCTTATTTTGATTCCTTGTTGGTATTTAGCATAAACGTTTAGTATAAATTCTACGGTATGAGCCCTGCCTTGTAAGGGTATGAACAGGAATCTGAATTCCTGGAGCTTTGTCAGTTACTGTCAGACTTCAGTGCTCAACCTTCCTTCATGTTACATGTAACGTACCTTTTCTAAGAAGCTGACGAGTGTGCTGTCTCTGCTGATTCCAAGCCAAGCCCGGAGTAACTACCTAAAGTGGTGATTTTGAAATGTCGCTGAAGCGACATTGAACTGATCGTTGACTAGATCTTACTCTTTATCTAGCGTCTAAAATTCCCATAAATATGCACGAGAAGAGCATGTTTTATGATGCACCACTTGCATTCTCTTTTGGCATTTAGACTTTCTATGTGAGAACACGGAGTCCTAAAATTCCAGTCATGATTCATGTATTTGTTTTGGAAAACGCTCTCTCTCTCTCACCCTCTCCCTCTCCCTCCCTCCCTCTCTCTCTCTCTCTCTCTCTCTCTCTCTCCCTCCCTCCCTCCCTCCCTCTCTCTCTCTCTCTCTCTCCCTCCCCCCCTTTTCCCTCTCTCTTTAGAATGATACGAATTGCTAGCTATTTTTGTACAGTTAATTGCTCTTTCTAGGTGCATGTTTTTAGGACCACCAGTTAATATGCCTTTGTCTTGGTGGGGGAGGGAAAGAAAGGGAATTTATGTGTTTGACTTCCTTAAGAAAAATTGAAATCTGATGTGGAGACTATGCCAACCTCAGTTTAGACCTTGCCCTGAATTTCCAGCCTGCAAGTTGAAGCAATTCCATTTTCTGATTGATGCTTGTAACACATTTCTTAAGTCTTTAGTCAAAACATCCCATGTGTTTACACTGTGTTATTTTTCTACCGGAAACCCCCTAAGCTATGTTTGGTCCTATGTACTTGCTGCCATTGGTTTTACTTAAGTTGGGGATCTTTTTGGTATATAGGAAGCAGTAGAATCCAGAGTTCCATAGGATTTATTTTTCTTGATTGAGGCAAAAATAAAAGGTATTTCTTTACCTAGTCATTAAAAGGTCATCATCTAAAGTCACTCTTTGTAAAAGGAAAAGCCAGCCTCTCTAGAAGCTCTTTGCCTGTTTGATGGACAGGGCAGCCCAGCCATTGAAGATCTGAAGGACTCAGCGCTGGTGGGAGTTCCTAGGCGTTGGTTTTCTTTTTCTTTTGATCCCTGTGGTAGGTGAGTTTAATAAATAATTTAGAAAATCATACATTAATTAGTTCTTACTGTTTAGAATGGAAACATTGTAGAGGTTTTCCGCCTTTAATCATGCCATGCCTAGCTCCTTACCCTCCCCCCCTTATATTGCTCATCCCATGATACTCGGTTATTGTAAAATTTGTTTCCTGCAAGAAGTATCTGAGGATTTTTAGAAACCAGAATGGACCAGTTTTGTCAGTCATGTGTGGATAGACTGTGAGAAACTTGGGAATGATGGTTATGATCAGGTTAAGGGATTATGTGTTTGGCTGGTGGAAAGAAGGTGTACAAAGAAGTTGGTGAAATGGTATACTTTCAGATGTAAGTGCATGGGAGATCCAAAATGCATGGTCCTTCAGGGGTCACTGGACTTGGCCACTCAGATATCTAGCAGAATTAAGTGTCGTATGTACTTATTTTATCTTTGGATGGGTGGTAGTTCTCAGGGACGTGTCATGGGCACCTTGTGGTTAAGAGTATGGGCTGGAGCCAGACCGTGTGGCCTCTTCTGGCTCAGCTGTCTATTATGTGTTCTTGGGCACGTTCTGTAACATCACTGGGCCTCGGTTTTCTCACCTGTAAAATGTCTGTGACAGTAGTAACCACCTCATGGGGGGTTTTGTGTCCTAGGCAAATTGATTCATGAGGAGCTCCCAGGTATATAATGAGGACTCCGTGTGAGATATTACTGTTAGCTGTCATCAGCATGTATGACACATGAATTGCTACATGGGGACATGCACATTCATTGAAGACTTCTCAAATGTGATTTTGATTTATGCAAATTGTGATTTATATCTTTTCTCCATGGCGCCGCCCTCACCGCCATCCATGGGCAGATGGAAAAGTGTGGGCCTGTGTCCCTCTTTTTTTTGAAGTTTACTGAGTCACGGGAAGGACCCTAATGGTGTGGAGTGTGAATTCTTCCACAAAGCTTGTTGTGACCAGGTATTTGCTTGCAAGGAGCAGGTGTGAGTGGGGTGAGGTTGTAGTTTGTGAAGATGCTATCTGGGCTATTCACATGTAAGTCACACCTAAGCCCTTGGGGGGTGGCCCCTATTTCACTGGTACTTAATAGTAAGATCCCTGACACTTTTAAAAACAAACTCCACGAGTGTCTACTGAAATAGTAAAAAAAAAAAAAAAAAAATAGTGTGGACTGTGCCTCTGTAGGGATGTAAGTGTTTTCTTTTTATTAAACAAAGAGCTGCTGTATTTTAGCTATTTAAGCCTTTGGGAGTGTAAGACTTGATGGAGTTCAGACAGTCAGCCCTGCTCTAGAAGGTTGGATTTTGAATGTGGAGTGTTAGGGGTGAGGACTTGGTGTGGTTCAGGTTTTGGATATGAATACATGTTGAGATGATGAGAATTCTCCCAGGCTTTTAATAGGCATCCCTTTTACAGCTGAATTGTCAAATACTACTGTTTTCCTTACTATTTCTGTTCCGAGGTGCTATGTTGACATGCAGTAGTTTGCTACCTCCAAGTTTGGAAAGAAGACAGGCCCTTCAAATGCATAGGAGTCTTACTGGGCAGCACGCAGTGTTAGAAATTGGAGTTATTCAACGTGACCATCCTTAGGAATTAGAATTTTAAAAGCCTAAATAGTTTTTACATATCTGTGTAACAAAATGCATTTGTAGGATAGTTTAATGTTAAATGCACTATTGAATTCAGAGCTATCTTGACTGAAACAT